TTCGACGCCACTACGCAGAGGAGAACGCCGCTCACGAGAAGTTAGAAACGAGGTTATTACAAACAATGGAAGAGTTCAAGAAAACGACTGTGGCTACGGCTCTATTGCATGTCGATGAGCATCTTCGATCTTTCGTTATCCAGCAAATGGCCAAGGGGAGAGACGTGAAAAGCCAAGGTGCTGGGCAATATGCCATTAAAAGGGTCATGAGCAGCGATCGTGTGGTGAAGCCAACACAATGGACCTGCACGAACGAGAAGCTTAGCGATCCACATGAGATGCTCTTTAATTCAAGGCCCTCCTCAATCCACGTACAACGCTCCATATCGTCCTCGTCCATGTTTTCTGAGCCGTTATCAGAGCCATCTACAGCCAATTCTTGGTCACCAACTCCACAGAAGTCTTCATGTGTGAAATCTTCTGCAGCTGTGTTCTCGTCCGGCGGGTTTAGAAGCTCGTCCACGGACATTGGGTCCTTAATGTACAGACGAGATAACATCGTCGCGAGCTTGGCGGACATAGCATCATCTTCATCTGGTTCTTCGTAGACGCAGTTGTAGTAGTCAAAAAGCCGGGTGCGCTTCCAGCACCTAGGGACGGTGGCATAGCGTTCCAAGAACTTGCCTGCCGAATCCCTACCTTGTATAGTTTGGCAGCTGCACTGTTCCAAACCAAAGGTACTCGGAACCATTTTATGGTACATTCGTGAATAGGAATACCCTTAGACAGGAATAAATTGTGGGTTCCCAACACGATGACTACCGAAGGGATCGTCTGTACATGTATTACAAAGAGTTGCAAAGCGTTCAATAGGCTAGCTTATTTAATCCGCGATACGATGACGTTATCGCCCACCACCTGTTCCCAGCGAATAGAGGAAATGATCGGTTGCGGGATCAACGCCGAGCAGAACATGTCACGAAGAGTGAACTGCAGCAACGGGCCTAGTTGATGCACAGATCTCAACCCCTTCCGCCTCAGCCAACCAGCAGTCAGAACAGGTAGGCTACAGCAACCTATGAGAGGTATGAACATAGCGTAAAATAAGCTGCCTTCCCTCTAGTAGCAACCTTGTAGACCAGCTAACGACTTTAATTATATGTTAGCTTGGCATTCTCAAACTTACTCCCTTCGCCTCAAGTTGAATTCAATATCAATAATCTACACCAGTGCAGCTCTTCACCACGATCGTTGCAGCTTTCGCCTTGCTCGCACCCGGAACTGTAGCCAAATCCGGCGAAGAGACAAAGTCCATTGACGAGCTGTACGCTGCCGCTGTAGCCGAAGGGGGCAAGTTCGTCATGCACCACGGAGGTGACACCCCAACAAAGCAAAATAATCTGCAGCAAGCATTTTCGGAGCGCTTCCCGGAAATTAACTTCACTCTCATCGTCGACTACAGCAAGTACCATGACGTGCTCATCGACAATCAGCTGGAGACCAAAACTCTGGTGCCAGATCTTGTGGCACTACAAACGCTGCAAAATTTTCCTCGCTGGGCTAGCGCCGGTAATCTTCTCAAGTACAAGCCAACCAATTTCTCGAAAATCCACGAGTCGCTGAGGGACTCGGATGGTGCCTGGATGGCGTACAAACTCTTCACATTCGGCTACATCTATAACTCGAGTGCGCTTGACGGTCTCGCTGCACCCACCAGTCCTACCGACCTGGCGAATCCACAGTGGGCTGGCAAGATTGCGTCGTCATATTCTAATGACGACGATGCTGTGTTTTTCCTTTACACGCGCTACACCAAGGCATACGGCTGGGACTGGGTGGCCAAGATGGCTGCACAAAACATCAGTTTCAACCGCGGTCCGAATGTTGCAGGCAGCCTTGCCAAGTCGGGCGAGAAAGTGGTTGGTGTGGGGACCAGCGGTAGTAGCTCCCCGATTAAATTTGTGGGTGGTAACGGCACGGAGTATCTGAGCTGGGGTCAACGTGTCGGCATCCTTTCGAAGGCAAAGCACCCTGCTGCCACCAAGCTGTTTGTTGTTTGTCGCCCTTGATCAAATGTAGAAGTGAGTATATTAGCTTAGCCTGCGGTCGACTACAACTCGTGGTTACTCTATGCATGCTTCGTTCGTTTCGAAACTCATTCGCCGTGGCTTTTGGGACTGCAACCCCCGCTGCCATGGCGCTTGTTAGCGCTTGCCGCGCTACAACACTTCCCCCCTGTGAAGCCTGTGTGTAAAATGCAGTGTGGCGCTACGCCACTTTCGTGTCAGCTTCGAGTCACTCCCAATGTATCCATCCTGCCTCACCGGAAAAATGCAACCAGGTCAAGTCAACTTCAATTTGACACCAGTGACCGAGTATCTCTACAGAGACAGGCCCAGTGCGGCACTCATGGCTTGCACAGCCTCATCGTCTTGGTGGGAGCGCTCAAATGCCTTGGCAGCGACCGGAACGTCCTGG